TAATATAATATAATATAATATAAGCAGCTGCCAGGTCCTCTCAGGGAAGCCCGGTGCAGATCTCAGACTCTCTCCAAAAAACCGGGTGCCCGGGCTCCCTGCAAGGCCGCGAACGACAAGGGGCGTGTCTGGAGAGCCAGCGCCCGAAGACCCTGTGGAGCGAGATGCGGATCGCTGGGTTCCTGAGGGCAAAGATCGCGGGGAGGCATCCTCGCGAGGCCGATCGGTTCTTGGAAAAGTGTTCGAGTGGCGCCTTAAGCTCATGAGCTCGGAGGCACTGTGCAGCTACGTGCAGAGGACGGGTGGGACGAGGCTCGTTTTCAATATGGAAGCAGGCTTCAGCAAGAACTTGGGGACGATGTTCAGGAAGTGTACGACTACAGTGCAGACCAATACAGGGAGCCTGTTGCACGTCGCGATGAAGGCGGCTTGGGGCCTCTGCCAGGAACGGGTTGGCGGAGAGCCGCTTTGTGTTTTTTGAGCAGCTCCCCGCCAGGCAGGCCACTGCCCCCCCGACCTCCGCTGGCCCGACCCCGCGGGGCAACTCGGGAACCCTCAGGGGCGTGGCGGCTTCAGCGACGGGTTTGTCGAATCATCGCCTGAGGCCAAGTGGTGCTGAAGTCTCGAAGCAGGAGTCCCAAAAGCCTCGCGGCTCGGGACACTGACAGGTGGGTGACATACGAAGATTGTGGCTACCGTGTTTTAAGTAGGCCCGAGTAGGCGCCGCAAGAGGGTGCCGATCACTCCAGGCATGGTGCCCATGGACACGGTGGACACAAGGAGCAGGCCCTTGCAGATGGTTGCCACCATAGAGACATGCTTTTCCGGCCCCAGAAATCAGGCCGATCGCTCTTACCGCGAGTGGCCAAGAACTGTCCAGGCCAATGGCGAGCACTTCTACGAGGAGACGCCCTAAACCCCAAACCCTAAACCCTAAACCCCAAGCCCTAAACCCTCAAACCCTAAACCCTAAAACCCTAAACCCTAAACCTGGTTTCGACGGAAACTGCGGCGCAAGCGCTTTGCCGGTCTTTTGAAAGTTTCGACAGGAGCACCGACGCGGGCCTGGCCGTGGCTCTCAGCTCCATTCAACGCTGGGCTCAACCTATAACCAACCAGTGTATATATATATATATATCAGATTATAATATATATATATATATAAACTATAATGTATAATATAATTTATTATATATTGAAGCAGTACCTTAACCTACCAAAACCTACTTTTTTGTAGGTTCCTATTAAAAAACCCTAGTATGGAATTTATAGGGACCTTACAAAAAAGTAGGTTTGGGTAGGTTAAGGTATAACCAATGGGAAAGTGTGATCTTGATCTCAAATTTTGCTCTTGAGCCGAGGCCCCGATGATACGCCCTCTTCCCGAGGTGATGCGAGGGGCAGTGGCCAGATTCGACATACACCTTCGACCGGTGATCGAAGCTGGCAGCCCAGCCAGTGAGCGGCACAGATCTTGACACTTGGGCAACTTGGCACTGCAAGGTAATGCTGGCACCTCGATCGCTGATCGCTTGGCCGAGTGTGACTCGAGGCCACGCGAGGCGGGCGAACAAAGTGCTGGTGAAAACTTACGTCAGTAATAGAAGTTTGGAGCAATCATGGAGCACCATGACAAAGTCACCAATGAGTTCGCGAAAAAGCACTTGCAGGCAGCACCGGCATAGTTTTGGCATATTTTGCCTGCTTTGCTCGAACGTCGATGTAATAACATGTTGTCACGGAGTGGCAGCTGAAGTCGTTCGGTTATAGGAGCCGGGGGCCTGCGCGAGCTTCAAAGTCACCACTCTGGAACGGTTGAATGTAGGAACCTGATTAAGAAACCCGAGCCCCATAACCCCAATATATTCGGGTTCATATTAAGAACCCTAATAAAGGCCCAGGGTTTCTTAATCAGGATCCTACATGACCGTGCTACGAAAAGGTGTGTACCTGGCTTGGTTCTTTGTCGCTGTGCTCATGCGGACAGGAACCGCGAACCCTGGAAAGTGACAGGTGAATCAAAGTCAAAGCGTCCTATGCCGGTGTGTCATGAGCTCGCGCTTGTCCGAGCTGTGCAAGGAAATCCGAAACGTCTGAACCAGACGAAGTGGCCACTACTTCTGCTGTGTGGCGGCGTTTAGACACTGAGTGTGCGTAATTTGCGTAATTGTACGACTGCCCTCCCAAAGGCCACCACGGCCGGAAAGCTCGGTCTGATCAAGCATGTCCCATGCTTGCTGCAGACCTCTCTTCAATCCGTTGAGCATGCGAGCGCTCCCAAACGCTTCTAACACAGTATCCCCCGCGCCGTAGTAGGCAAAAAGTTCTGGCAACACGCCTTGCCATGAAATAGTTTTTTCTGTGCTTAGTAAAGCTAGATCTGCTGGAAAGTTTCTGGAAAGTTTTTCCAAAAGGCTCTTTCCATGGCTATTGCACGGGGTTGTTGGGTTGTTAATGGTTGTTAGAGCTCTTTGGCTGGAATACCGGCACAGGCTCCCCGCAGCCACGGCAATGCATCCTCTCGCTGGAGGGGATCGCTGCTTGACGCGGTTGTTGGTTAATGCTTGACATCATCCCAGCACATTGCAATTCCTGAGGACTCGGAGATAATGAGTACTCTCGACATGGACATCTTCGCGCTCGATCTGCTCGACATGCACGTCTGGAAGACGACAGTGTGCTTGCGTGGTGGACGGCATCATCATGATATAGCCCATGTTGCCGCGACAATCAGCACGCGGAATCGTTGTGCGAGTCACAAAAAGCGGAACCATCCTTCAAGACACCGGAAGCATGGTCAGGACCAGCCTTGCACTCATGCAGCTCTCGCGACTCCATTTTGTGGATTTGGCTTAACCCAGCGGTGTGCTTTCGCATACAATCATTGCACTTCCCCAACAGTGTTCAGCGAGGTTGCAATGAGGAGATGCTGACAACCGTCCATCATCCCGATTCATCTGCCATGTCGGACTGCCGGGCCTTGATGTAACGCTCCACCAAGCGCGTTGCTTGATGAGGCTTAGGTCCAGGCAGCTCGGTTCACATCAGGTTTTGCTTTGGAGCAGGCTTCGCACCACTGTGTCTGTGCGGCCGTCTGGCCTGAGGATGCCACAAGCGGGCTCTTCTTTACAGAGCAAAACCAGGCCTTGAGAGCAAAGAATCAATGGTAACCAAGCTACTAGCACACGGCAATGACTGTGATGGGGTCGCCTGCTCCGTCTGCTTTCTGGAGGGCGCGAGGTTGCAGCTGCGGCGGCCCTGACTTATGCTGGGCGCACTGTCGCCTTCATTTACCCAGGACTTGCTTTCAGCAGCTGTTCAAGCATGCAATCTCTAGTCCGCATGTGGCACGTCATGGCTTCGAGAGGCAGGCCTGGCTCTGGATTTGACCCTCGCGGACGCGTGCCTGGGCCCACGATGCTATCATTGCATCATATGTGCCCATTGCCTACTTCTTGATGAGGCAATGGCTCGTTTGTGGCCCTGTGGGAGCATTGTGCGGAGCCTTGGTGCGGACATTGCCAACATCTAGTCCTAGCCTGCCATGACGTGCCCTTGCATAGCGAGATCCTCGAGCATGGCATCGCAGAGAGCGAGAGAGGTATTCAGAGCTATTTAGGGGTTTCCGAAAATAGGGTACCCTAATATCCTAATTAGTAGGATCCTTATTATAAGGACCCCAAAATAAGGTCCCTCGCCTTTCACTGGCCGAGGTCCAGGCCATTGCCCTGTGCACATGCACGTGCATGGGAAAAGTGGCCCGGCACGCAATGATCTACTGAGTCTACTGAATTACAGATTTGCAGCACTGGGAAACATGATGTAGTGTTGCGATCCATTGTTTGGAACCTAAGTTTGCCAATTCACCTGCGTTGATGGTTCGTCTGGCAGCTGCACAAATCCAGCCAGCACCCAAGATGTTTGCAAGCAGCCTCTTGTACTCAATGAACTCCTCCATGAAAGAACTGGAGGCCATGGTTGTGGTGGACAATTCCACGAAGCGATGCGGGCTGCCTTGCATGTGGAGAGAAGCAGGATGAAAGAGAGGGGGTCTCGAACATGCAAGTTTCCTAGCACAACGGCTGCTCAGTCTTGCGCAGAAGCTCATGGGATGAGCCGGCATCGGATGCAACAAGTGCTTTTGCCTTGCTACCGTGGATCCGGTCCGGGTTGGTCGGTTGCAGAGGCTACAGTGTGTCGTGAGACGAAGGTGGCTCAAAGTTCAGGGTCTCTCGAGGCGACTGCCTACCGGCCACTGCTTAAGTCACGATTGCAGATCTCGGCAAGCTTGTCTCCCGGGAGTGGCGGCGATGGCCAGGGCAAGTCAGCGGTGGAGGGGCCTCAGGTTCAAGGCGGCGTGTCCTAGCGTTGGAGAAGCAGAGGAGCAATGAAGAACCGCGCCGGGGGGGAATGGAGTCTAGTCTCGTCTGGCTGGGACTTGCTGCGACCGGCGCGGTGTGACAGTGACTCGCTGCTCTCTATGTTCGGCAGTAGGTCGCACAGAAAAGGACAACCTACAGTACATGATGCGCTCAAGCAAGGTCGCAGCTGTGGAATCCCAGGCTGCCGAGTATGCAGCCGGGCACCGAAGTCGGCGTGGTTGAAAACCATCATTAGACAAGTCATTGCGCAATTCAGGCCCCGAGGACCACTGTGCAAGCCTTGGCTTTGTTAGTTGCCCAAGCTGATTGATGACTGAAGCACCTGACATCGAGATTGCAATCCTTGGTGAATTCAGGCTTCCGGTGCGCGACGGGTTTCTATCTCACGAAGGACGCTGATGCCAGGAATTAGCTGCCCGAAGGAAGTCTGTTCTGCTCCATCCAGCTGCTCCACCCCATTCCGTTACGGAGGACAGGGATGTGTGCATCAGCAAGTTTGGCTTCCTGATTCCTTGCGGCGTGCCCAGTATGTAGGCATGTGTTCGTTTCTAGGAGAGTTGCATGCCGCAGGCTAGTATGTTGGGGCGTATTCTCCTCCTCCGAAATGCCACTCGGAAACAGCAGGTGTTTGTGGCTTGCTTGGAGGGGCCTTCGTGGTCTTAGCTTCGCACCGGCCCTGGCAGTTTTGCAAGAAGCGCTTGAAGGATCATGGGACTTAGTAAGTAGGGTAAGTTATAACTAAGGTAACTATACTTATAACCCCAATTAGGGGACTAAAACCCTAGGCCCTAAACCCTAAACCCTAAACCCTAAAACCTAACCTGCGGAGCCTTGCCGGCCTTGTGCGAGTGTGAGAGTCGAAAACCTAACCTTACTTACTAAGTCCCATGATCCTCCAGGCGCCCCGGAGCGACTCTTTCGAATGCCCAGGTGGTACATCTGGCTTCGGAGCCAGCCAGCCTCCGAGCGCCAGGAATCACCATTCCTAGAGACTCCAATACCCCTTAATTAAGGAATATACATTAAATCTTATTAGGGATCTTACTATAATTTAAGGTACCTTAAATCTTATTAGGGATCTTACTATAATTTAAGGTATATTCGTTAATTAAGGGGTTTGGGAGTCTCTGGGGTCTGGTTTGGTTTCCATGTCATGCATGAGAGGAGCATATGAACCAAGAACTTTACCCAGAAGCACGACCCTCTAATTCCCTCTTTAAACAGCAATCCGTCGTGAAGACCGTTTCAGCACTACTTCATAGTACTCATAACCCTCTAAAGCCACGACTGAATATTCAACCCTATTCCGACTCCGCATTTCAACCCTTCTGATGGTCCCAGCCCGTGAAGCCAGCACGCAGCCGCGAGGGCCCAAACCTGGGAGTCCCGAAGGGTAGGAAAATCCTCTGCAACCCTGTGAGGCTTAGGGGATTCAAGGAATTCAGGCTTCAGTATATGAGGGTCGACGCCAGGAAGGGGTACCCTTCTTAGGGGTCTTAGAATCAGGACTGCCTACGGTTCATTTAGGCAATGTTAGGCCTCTCAAACTCGCATGCAAGAGTAAGAAGCTGGTGAGCGAGCTCGCGGTTGAGTAGTAGAACTATCATCTAGTGTGAACCTCATTCTCGCTGTTAACTTCGATGCTGCTGTAGTACGCAAGACTTGAAACTACAGGGAAGCGGAGGGTCAAGCGGTTTGGGACGCGGAGGATCCTTGCGAACTCTTCATCGACACTTCGGCCCTTTAGAAACCCAACGACACCCCAACAAAGGCAACCTGAACTTCCACAAGCCTCGTAAGACCAGACACCCTAAACCCTCAGCGCTGAAACCCATACGCTCCAAAGTCCAAATCCCAGCACCACCACCACCCACCAGTAGCACAACCACCCCCTGCCCGCAACAAGGAAAGGTCATAAATCAACAATAAACGCTAACCCCAAAAACCCTAAAGCCCGAAAGCCCTAAACTAAACCCTGAAACTCTAAAACCCTAAACCCTTAACACATAAACCCAAAAACCCTAAAACCCTAAGCCCTAAGTACTAAGCTTTGAGCACGAACAGACCGGGAAGCTGGCTAAGAAGAAGCCGGTCGGCAAAGCCGAAATCTGCAAACGTGGAAGTCGCCACTCTACTAAGACTTCGGGCTTACAGGAGGTTTAGGGTTTAGGGGTTTAGGGTTTAGGGACTTAGGGCTTACAGAAGGTTTAGGGTTTAGGGGTTTAGGGGTTTAGGGGTTTAGGGCTTAGGGACTTGCTTAGGGCTTACAGAGTTTCCTTTTGAACCTCTTTTCCTACTGCCCATGTTAGGGTTTTAGGCATGCATACATACCGACCTACCTACCTACGTACCTACCTACCTACCTACCTACCTACCTACCTACATACATACATACATACATACACGCATATGTACACACATCTAGAAAGAGAGAGAGAGAGAGATAGAAAAAAAAAAAAA